TGTGTGTGTGTGTGTGTGTGTGTGCGCGCGCGCGTCTGTGGGGTTGCGATAAGGCTCTCAGCCACACCATTAGGTGACTCATAATCCACACCACCTCAAACACACACATACACACAAGTTTGTGTTCCTAGTCTTATTAGAACATTGTGTTGACTTCGATTCGTTCCTGAAACCCCATTTGTGCCTAACCCTAGCACAACCCCGAGGCCTAACCCTAACCCAAAAAGACACACGTCACCCCACTAACACCAGGCCTTGGTCCACATTGTCTTAAGAAGACAGCTAGCTGTACACGAAAAGGTTCAAACAAGGTAACACCTGAATATTGTATTTCTAACCATATACGGAAATTGTATTGACTTCCATTTAATTCAGTAACCATATTTGTGCCAAGCCCAACCCTTAGCCATAACCTTTGCCCTAACAACGCCTAACCCTCAAAGAGATGCTTCACCCATTTAAGACCAAGCTTCCGTTTCATAGGGGCTTGAAACGGCAGGTGATCATACCAGAAAAGGTTCAAACAAGGTAACATACCCGCATACACTTGCACTAGTTTGTATTTCTAACCATAACAGGAAATTATATTGACTTCCATTTGCATCAGTAACTCCCATTTTGTACCAGACTAACCAATGACAGCCATAACCGAAATCTTGGTACACATTTGAGCCCTAACCCAAACCCCAAAACTAATGTCTGTTGCACTTGGACTGACCTTTGGTCCCAATAAACCTAACGGGTCTTCAAAGGGTCAACAATGACACCAGAAGAGGTCTTCAAGAGGTGACGTAAACAACTGATCCAACACGGTATCGCCCATGTGCAAGAGCAAACTTAAACATGGCTCCAAACAGTCAATTAGAAATGAACCCAGGCATACAGGAGCGGCACAAACCTCATACACAAGTAGCACATGGCAAACTTCTTTTATTTCAAAAGGGCAAACAGAGCTATACAGTACACGTAGCACAGGAAATAACTTAGCCAAGGCTGAACTCATTCATTTCTTACTGATGCAGTGACGTCAGAACAACAGAAGCAAGAAACTCCTCCATAGAAACAACAAAAAAAAAATCATTTTGGCTCCGTCTTTATGCTGAAGCATGGTACATCCAAACTGGAAAGCAATGTAAAAAAAGGACATAATGTTTTCCAGATATTTACAGTCTTATGTACAGGCATTTTTGTTGTCATCTAAATATTGACGCACATTGGTATCCTTCTTTTTTTTTTTTCTCCTCTCCCATATTCACTGATTGTCAAAAGAAAGGATGGAAACAGGTGTGGACATTCTTAAACGGAGCTTTGTACCGCAGTCCGAGCATGTTATTGTGGTGTCCCGTAAACTACAGCTCCCAACAATCATCCGACCGGTCTCTGCCAACGCAGGAGCTACTATCCGTCCAGGGCCCCGTTGCTTCTCTCCTGTGCCAGACCCAAAGTAAAATCGGACCCCCTTAAATCAAACCCGGACACCCTGCTGTCGAACCCAGGACCCCCGGGCTTCCTCTTCAGCTCCTCGCACTTCCTGTATTTACAGATCTGGTGTCCCCTCTTGCGGTTGCGGCAGCTGCTGCACTGTTCGCAGTTCGTCTGACGTCGGCAGGGCACGCACTCCCCGCACCTCTTCCTCTTCCTTCGCCCTCCGCCGCCCCCGCCCAGCGAGCTGGGGGAATAGCCCTCAGCTACCAGCCCCTCTATGCCCTCCGCTCCCACGGCCGTGCTCCTCCAGTGGCCTCCCCCCATCTGAAAGCCTGCCAGAGGGAACAGAGCTGGGCTGAAGGGGAACCAGGCGCCAAGGAAGGGTTGGAAGTCAGTGCTGCATCCAGAGGAGTCCTCTTCGTCCTCCTCCGGCCCAGACCCGCCTCCCTCGCCATCTCCTTTTCCGCCCTTAGCCTCTGCAGCCTCTTTCTTAGCTGGCTGGCTGCTCTGCGCGCCCAGGCTGGCCTGCTCCGTGGTGGCGGGGGTGAGAGCCAGCAGTCCGGCACGCATCAGCAGCTCTGCGGCATGGGCCAGGTGGAGCCCGCTGGGCGACTCCCACATGTCAGGCCAGGAGGGGGCCCGGCGGGGCTTACTGGGCTGGGTGGGACGCTGCTCCTGTGCCGGGGACGGCTGGATCAGGCCTTTGACGTCCACAGCAGGGGAAGGGGTAGAGATGTAATGGGAGAGGCTGTAGGGGTGGTTGGAGCGCTTAAGGCTCGGTCTCAGGGGCTCATTGGGGATTTTAGCACTGCTGTGGGCCTGATCCGGGGAGGAAGGGCCAGCGATGTCTACGGCAGTGGACATGGCAGTGGCTGGGTGTGTGTGGGGGGGGGCGGTTTGCCCTTGTGTTTTTGTGTGCGTGGGAGAAGGGGACTGAAGCTGACGCGGAGCTGACAACTGTCCTGCTGTTACTTCAGCCAAAATGGCAAGCCTTGGCCTGTGTCCCTATTCCCATTCTCTGCAGCGGCTTCAGAGTCCTGGAGAGCTGGAAATGAATAGGGGATGAAGACAGGAAGGTTAAGAATAGAAATGCTGGGGAGACAGATACAGAAAGAGAGTAAACAGGGAAGACGGGATCTGTATTTTCCCCTAGCAGAACGACTCAACCGTGTCGGGAAATTATCGGGCGACAGCAAGAGTTAAAACACAAGACATATGTATAAAGCCGTGGAAGTAAAACTGCTACAAAACCAGAAGCAAGGATCCGTGTGAGTGTGTGTGCAGAGGGAAAGAGAGAGGGAGAGAGAGAGACAGTGCATGCCTTGCAACGGATTTCCGCATACAGGAGGCAGTATCCCTTTAAGAATTTCACGGTATATCAATGCAATCAATAACAGAGCGACAACAATATGCAAAGATATGCGCATATGCGCAGGTCAAATGTGGAGCGCGCTTTTCAAATACATTTTGACGACTGCTGTTATGTGTGCCAGCCAGAGCTTAAACGGAGCCGAGAAGCACCAAATAAGGGACCGTAAAGAAAAACAGGCTGTCTTTTGTCTGGTATCGACGACGAGGAGCGAGGTGCGCAACGATGCGGGTGCTGTGGATAAAAAAAGACCAGGCTATATTCCGTGTCCACGTTTGTGTGTGTGTGTGTGTGTGTGTGTGCGGGAGGGGGGGGGTTAAACCCCACAACACCGCCGACTAAACGCGGATCGTGTATGTTATTACAAAGTATGAGTTCGTGCCCTTTCGACGGGTCGATCGGGAGACGTAATCGATCACTTTAGCGTGAATGAGGTTACCTAAGAGGACCGACGCCAAGGCGAGTTGACCACAGTCCGAGTGGTCGCTGCGACACGGCGCTGCGCGCAGGAAGGGAGAGGAAATCGGGCGACAAAACGGCCAAATCAACAGGAAGTGCGATGAAAAAAACGCGTCACTTTACCTTCCCAACGCGGTCCCCGGCCTCTCCTGTCAAATATATGATGAAGTCATGAACTAATGTCGAGCCGATCGTATAGCGTATGTGGACGGCGGAGCTGCCGATTCCTCCTCCACCTCTCCGTCCCGGAGGGTCTGCAAACACTCTGCACGGAATTTGGGGGCGTCGCTCAAAATGCGAAGTGGACTCTGCAGCCGACCGAGGCTCGTGTGGTCAGAGCGACCCCGTGATGTCCTCAGGAACAGTCCAGCTGACGACAACGATTAAACCCAAATACACCCATCGGCTCCACTCAACTCAGGATCACTTTTTACACCGTCTTGCATAGACATAATTAAACACCGGCTTTTGTGCCCAGTATTATTATCATTATTACTATTGTTATTTTGTATTTAAATGGTCATTTTGTCATTAATAGAATACAACACTTAGACTTATCATTGTCATTATTAAAAAGCACAATGGATTTCCACATGGTTTCTCTCTCCATGTGAATAAAAACACAATATAAAGTTTTGATTAATGTAAAATTAAATAAATAAGTAAATAAAATTTTAGTTATTAAGATAGCATTGAACTGTTGCAGGGTGCAGCTCACTCCAAGCAGAACCAAGGCAAAAGCAAACGAAGCAGCTGCTTAGGGCCTCCACACCAGCAGGGGGCCACACGTGAGCCCCTTTATCTAGTTACAAATTTTTCATTGATACAATTAAATCTGTGAAATTGATCGTTAATAGCAAACACTAAGTTAACTAGAAACATTTCTTTAATATTTTGTATTTATTACTGTTAAAAAATGTAATAGGTTATAATTATTTTTCTGATGATCATCAGGCTCATTTAACATCTACAGTGTTCTATTCAAATTCTGCACTTCTTTAGCTTTATTAATAACAGAAGTTATTTGTTCACTTGCTAATGGAGCCAGCCTAAGGCATAAGCGAAATAAACAGCTTGCTTAGGACATCCAAACCAGCAGGAGGGCCAGAATCCTCACAAACCGATTAGTCATAGATTTTAAAGCCTAAAGTGTATTATTCATACAAAATGGACAATTTTGGTCAGTTTTTAAATTTTACTCTGGGTAATCATTACTGTAATATATTGATTTGTTTTTAGCTGTAAAAGTAAAAATTATATATTTTTACATATGAATAGAACTGGGTTTTTAATGACGACTCTTTTGTTCATATTTATTATTTTGATTATTATCTACTTATATCTGCAACATTACACATTGGTAACAGCATTGTTACTAATCAATGCAAATTTTATTAACCTAAATTTATTCCTAATAAATTTATTATGTGCAGTTTCTTCCGAGAGCCAATGCTTTTGCAGTTGTAAGAGTGGCCCCAAGGTAAAGGCAAACTAATCAGGCCTCCAACCAACAGGGGGAGCCCAAGAGCACTAGAATTCTCATTTACATTGTTTTTTTTTCAAATGCCATCAGTATGACTCATTTAAAATGACACAATAAGTTGAGAGTATTTAGTATGTAGCTTAAAAATATGCAACAGACTTTTTTTTTAAAGTTAACAACAAATTATTAATATGTTCGAGTACGTTAAACCAGGTAATTCCATTTGATACCAGGATGCAAGTTATGTAATTAGAGCAACAAAAATTCAGTTGTTTTTGACTGAAACGGGGCTTCTGTGGGGTCTCCCCTTCTTTGTAATTACAGAAAAGATAAATTTGGCTATGTGAAAGTATTTTCAATCATGAAATACACAGTAAAAGTGTGAAAGCTAATAGAGTAGTACGCAACAAAAAGTTAACACAAACTGATCAGATTATTAGACTCCACCAGAATGTGGGTCATCTAAAGGAGCTACATTGTGTAACTTTGACTTTTTTGAGCTTTATGCTATCCTCTCAACAAAATCATACCTGCAGTGTTGCTGACAGAAGACGCCTTCCCCACTCAGCTCCTCAGACTAGCGACAGCAGCGATTAGCAAACACCTGGTGGAAGAAAGGTTATTATATTAACTATTTCTCAGTCCAGCACACCAAAGAACATTTGCAAACACTTAATTGAGAAACATTGTTGTAATGAGATGCTGAGTGCAGAGTGTCCAAAAGAGCGGGAGCTTCTTAAAGAGACAAAGGCCCAATTTCAGGGCGTCAAATTAAGTCATCATTGATATGTACATCATTTTTTTCTATAATAGTTACTTAATTTTACTATAAAATGGCACTATACTGCCACTTTAATTCACTTTTTTTTATTAACAGGCAGCTGATTTACATTGAACTTAAAGAAGCGCCTTCCATAACTCTTATTAAAGTCATGCTGTTTAAAAATATGTAGTTTCTAAGCTACGAGCAGATTGGCTGTTTTAATTAAAGCAATGAGGTAATGATATGCATCATTCCTAATAACACTGTAACATACACACGTTCATTTAATTAATTTAGAAATTCGGTAACATCAAAAAAGAAAGAGATGAAAACTAGTTTAACTGCGTTAAAGTTCAGATTATAACTACTGATGAATAGCAACATCTCTCATCTGCCGTTTTACCTTTTAACTCCGCTCCCTGTCCAAACGGCGCCGCCTGATACAGGAGGTGACTCCTCCACGCAGGAGCGCCGGAGTCCACTCCACCTCTTCTGAGAGTCCTCCGTGCATCTGGCACGCAGCCAGACACCTCGTGCGTGTGCATCCGTGTGTGAGCGAGCGTGCGTGTCACTATGGAGGCAGGGGCCCACGGTTACTACACCGTCTGGCCTGGACCATCCGTGTAAACACAGCGTCTTCTAGTGGTCAACACAAATACAGCCACCCGTCTTAAAATGGCCACTGGTGCTGGTGGACACTGCAGCACAGCAGCAGCAGCCCCCTTCGGCCAATACCACACACACACACACACACACACACACACACTGCAGTCGCCACATTGAGCTGTTAACTTATTATGCCCACACAATGTTAATCCATAAACAAGGCACTCCTGGTTAAAACTGAGGTGTAGTTTGGCCCCAAAAATAAAAAAAAAAAAAAAAACAAAAAAAAAAGTTGTGCCAACAAATTAGATCACTCAACATGTTTTATTAACAATATAACAGCACACTGACTCAATCACGCTGCAGCCAGTACACAAAAAAAGAGGAAAAAAAAATCAATCTGATGAAGAAGCAAAATAGATCCGTTAAAAGGTTTTAACCTTCAGATGCAGTTTGATCAGGAAGCCGCACACAAACAGCAGATAGTGTTTCAACATTAAACATTTTTCTGCCCCGTTTAAGACAAACGTTGCTATGAAGCAGCAAAACAAACTTGAATATTTCATGTCACATTCATATGGGTTGCCACGTTCAGCAAACAAAAGATATAATAAGGCCTGTGCTGGGTTTGACATAAACGCTGGACCGATGAAGAAGCGTGGTAACGATTTCCTGTTTCGACCGTTCACGGGCGACAACCCCAGGAACCGATGGCCCAACTCTAACCGCAATGACTGTCCCAGTCCCTTGACCTGGATCCCGTTTCATACATGTTGATCAGTGTGGCAATTTTGGGAATTATGAAAAAAAAACTAAAAAAAAAAAACGAAAGAACATCTGCAGTGTGTTCTGGCTTGTTCTGGATTCATCCGCAGGAAGAACACAGTGGAACTGACGAATGATTGGGCGGGTCGGCGGACAGGACAGGTTCGTCTCCAGCGGTGCGCTACGCGTCTTTCCTTTTGATGATGAGCGGCCCCACGTTATCTCCGGTTTCCTCATTGTGCCTGGTGTGGGCGCCGTCGCAGTACGGGAACTGCAGGAAACATGGAAATACCGTCACACTTTAAATGCACACATGTTCGTTGTTGGGTTGGTACGATACAAACACACGGCAGGTCAGTGGACGCATCACACCTGTCCTACTGAGGACAACTATCTTTGGTGTGGATGTTGTTATTGAGAAAAGAAGAGTATCTCAACTATTTCCAGTAGGGAAGAAGTAGCAACTTTGAAAGAAGCCATTTCCAACTGAGACGTCTGAATGCCTTACAACACTTATTGAGCTTTTATAAGACGCACTGATTCAATATTAATATCTGTATCGGTTCCTATATAGAAAAAAATTCTAAAATCGAGTATCGGTCATAATTTACCAGATCCATAAGGGCAAATCTATTCAGTATATTTCTATACTTTATTATTCATTTTACTTTACATTTATAATCCCTAATTGCACTTTCTTAAGGTTTATTGGAAATTACTTTTTACATGTTGACCAAAAGAGTCAACCTGTTGTTTTTGTCAGTTTCTTTATTTATTCTCCTAATGTCACTGACTGAACAGACTGAAGTTGTTTTTATATGTTTGACCAATCTTGTGAAGCTGTTGGTGTGTTTTAGTGTGCTGTACTGGTGCAGAGTTAGCAAATTAATTTATAATTCAACACATTTGTACCCGTGTTGTAAAAAAAAAAAAAAAAAAAATGGGGGGTTAATTCAAAGTTGTTTTTCCTGTGTGTACCGATACTAAGCCTCAACTCTCCGTATCGGTATCGGAAGTGGAAAAGCAGATCTCGGTGCATCTCTAGTAAAATTTGAATCACTTTTTTAAGGTAACCTATCAAACTTTTCAGCTTTTAACTTAAGAAAACAGTTTTGATTCATTATTTTATGACATAACTGTTATTAGTAGCATATTATGATAGTACTTTCTACAGCAGGAACAAAGTAAACTAAAATAACAAAATGTTATGTTTATACATCTGACTTGTCCGAGAAAGTTACAAAATATATCTAAAAATTAGATATATTTTCTTGCTAAGTTTTCTTAGCAGGAAGTAAATTTTCTTATTTCTATTTGGCATTTAGCAAATAGAAAGAATTCAGGCAATTCTAACTAAACTAAAAGTCCTCACTGATCCTGCGTTCTGACGCGCATGATATTACAATTGATTAAAAACCACTCACAACATTAAGTCTAGAAATAATATTTTGACTATTGTTAATTAAAGCCCTTAAAGATAATCACTTTACAAAACTGCAGGTGAAAACTCATCCACAAATAATATTTACAATACAATCAAGTTAGCTTTTCTTTCCTAAACAACAACAAAAAGTGTTCAGACTTACAGCAGAAAATTCCTCTGTGTTGGATCTTAAATCACATATTGCAGTTTTTCGGTGAGTCTCTAACCTTTTTAGACCTCCAGCAGCGGCAGTAGACGGCCTTGGAGCCAATGTCCTCCATGTCGAAGCTGTGCACCACTTTGGGGCTGTCTTTGTTGATGTAAGCGTTCACAGAATGCTTCTTGCTGCTCCGGCTGCTCAAGTAGCGGCTGACCAGGAAACCCGCAGCTGCCGAGATGACGGCCACTGGCACGGCAACCAAGAAATGTTCTGGACAGAGGAAAACGTTAAACAAAAAAAAAAAAAAATAATAATAAAAAATGAGAAGGGATGATCTTATTGGTCGTTCACCCTTACAGGTTTGGTTGCAGATGAATAAATCTGACGAGAAAGGGAATTAGATAGAAAAATAAATGGAGAACACATTAGAAAAGGCTTACAAGGGCACTAGCCCAGGGTTCCGAGTTTTGGGGGCGGCCCCCCAAAATATTCCATTTTAATGTTTGCTTGTTTTTCTATACTGTGCATGTTATTAAACTCTTGGGTTCATTTCTCACACGTTATGTTTTTTTAAGTACTGCTGGATTTTTTTATTAAATTTAACATAAAGTAAATATTTGAAAATTATGTAATAACATATAGCACATCGTTTTGGGACCAACATGGAGTCATCTGCCAGATGTTTTAAATCATCCATCAATTCATACCTTCTAAAGTGTAGACCTACCTATCAACGTACTGTGACTTGCATGAGTAAAACATCTTTTTCTCTTTAGGACACGGCACTAAAACTGGCTCCAGCCCAGTCTTGAAATGCAGATATTTACAGTAATCTGTCTTCCTTCACCATACATAGATCGACACTCAGACAGATGCTGGATCTGGAAAATACTACAAACTTTCTCCAGAATGTCAAGATAAAAGCCTGAACACATTCTGAACACTGAACAATGGAAACGTCTGACAATAACAATGTGAAACTGCCTGTTATACAAGATTTATCCTTATCAAGCAGGTTACATGATACAGAGGCGGTAAGACAAGAGAAACAGAGGTCTTGTTTTTTGTTGTTTTTTGAAAAGTTGCCCGTCTGCAGGATCAGCAGTCATGGCTGCTGGGCCTAGATTACCTGTTTAACCAATTAAAGATGCAAACTGGAGCTCAGATGGCCGACCAGTAGGTCAGATAAATATCACCCGGGCTACCATGCGAAGCAAGAGGCGAAACAGAGGAAATATGTCCCACTTTCTTACATTTCACAGGTTAAAACAGCTTAGTAGGTCGCTTAGGCTGAGTAACTGCTCTGCAATCGGTAGTAAAGCTGCCTAATAGTGCTGTAGGTGGCAGATAGACACGCGCCGCCTTGCATTCAGCGCTAATTAAATAACTCATGTAAAGCTAGCATGCTATTAGCTAGCTTTAATACTATACCTTTGGTTAACCTGAAACCGGAGCTGTGGACCGCTGCCATCGGACACAGAGGTATCAACCAGCTATCACGTAAAGTTGGACCTGTCGCGTTTTCTCTGCGCTGTGGGTTGTATTCGGTCAACGGTAAGCAGCAAGGTCAACAACCGGTTAGCTTCAAGGAAACTCTGTCCGTCCCCTTTACTGCTACGTCACATCAGATAGACCAATCTGGAGCAAGCTCATGGAAAACAAGATGTTTATGGGCAAAGTACATCCGGCTTCTCTTTAGACGGAAGTTAAACAATAGCACAATTGACGAAGTTTGTTTTCTTAATCATTCTCTATTAAATGATTAAGAAAACACAGGCAATAATTCCTCGTGCGAAGGCCTTCAGCTAGATATTTTAACAAGCTGAGAGCTCTCATTTTAAATGCGTCAGCGTCTCTTCCCAGACCAAAAGGAAGCTGTATAATTAAAAATAATCGTGTGTGCTTAGTATAGCAACCTACATACATGCAGCATGTTTTAATAAATGTTTATGATCATAAACCAAGTAATGAAGGCTGGTGCTGCTCGTAAAGCTCTGAAGGTGGTCCAAACGTGGATTCTTCGTTAAAAAAATCAATAGAATTACAAACAACCATCAGAATCCTCTTTATGAGGCTGCTTTACGGCAAAAGTGTCGTCAGTCGGAGGCTTCTTGAGATCCACTGTAGTACAGACCGCAACAGGAAATCCTTTCGGCCCACAGTCATCAGCAGCTACAACTCTTTGAATATGACTTGCATTTAATTTCCCTTTGGGATCAATGATGCATTTCGAATTGAAATAACTACAAGTTTCCACCAGAGGGCGACAAAATGAATTTCTTGTAAAATAAGCCCCACTTAAACGTCCGTTTCTGAAATTTAATACTGGAAACATAAGAAAGGTAGCAGTTTTACAAATAGGACAATATTTGAGTGAAAAATATCGACCTAGATTTGTTTTATGAAAATAAATGAATAAAATAGAATTAAAATAAGCAAATGATTGTTTATAATTCTAGGAAGCAAAAAACTATTTTACAAGTTTGACTCGATATAGCAGTTCAGCTAGATGCTGGAGCAAACTAGAGTAAATAGATTTCTTAAACAAGAACATGTAATCTTTGATAGTATAATTGATTTACAAATAATGTAAAATTAATTCTACATGAATTCTCACAAGATCCATTTGGATACCCAGAGGTTTGTCATCAATCACTAAAAGCTGATACATTTATTTTTCTTTGTGTTCCTCCAGGAATTCAAAAAATAAAGGTTGGAACGGACGAAAACATAAGTGTGATTTGGCACAAAAAGAAAAACTAAAAGCTCATCTCTACATATCAAAATACATTAAAATTAAGTTTGCTTCTGAAATTCAGATTTCTGGTTTTTGAATGTCAGAAAAATAAGACCTGAAAATCCAAACATTGCTTAAAAAAATAGTAAAAACAAAAACAGAAAAACCCACCCCATCCTTTATGATTACATTTCAACCATGAATAAATTAAGTTAATTGCTTCTTCTGGTGTCCATTTACATCCAGGAAAACATTCCATCTTAAAGACAAAAAACTTAAAACCAGAGTGTCTCGGCTTTTTGTATTCCCTTGAAAATAAAAATAAAAATAGTAATTTGAGTTTCTGCTCAGATGTTTCCTAAAAGACGACTCAAGGAAAAAAATGAAAAATTTCCAAAGAACTTCACCATGAACGTGACGAAACGCCGAGCGCTGCCGCAGCCTGGACGTCTTTTCAAACGAGTCTGACGACGAGTCAACACAGAAGTCGGAGGTTTTTATTACACAGTTTAATCAACACACAAAGCTCAACGAGCCTCTCAGGTAATTCAATATACAGAGGTTTTGTGCAAGAAGAGTGGGTTCTCCTCGCACCCAGAGCCCAAGCCAGTCCCGTAGCCATTTCAGATGTTAGCCGCTAAATTTGACAATAGCAAAAAGGTAAAAGGGGGCGGGAGGGTAAATAGAACAAACAAAAAAAAATAATAATAATAATAAAGAGGGAAAGAAGTAATCTAAAAGAAAGATGGAGCAGAGAAAGAAAAAATAATAATAAAAAAAACACAGGTTAAACTAAGAAAATGCTTAAATAGCTGGTCCAGAATCTCCACTTTGAGTAAAGGAAAAAAAAAAGGTGGAGACGGAGGGGTTGGGGTAGGGTTACAGCTGTGCGTGCAATGTGTGTGTGCCCGTGTGTATGATGGGGTTTTCACCTGGGTGGAGGGGGTGGAAGAGGGAGAGGAGGTCAGGGGGATAATGAGGAGAATGAAGTGTGTGAATAAATTCAAGTCCTTTCATAGAATCCAACAGAAGAGCAAAATAGGTCATGAGCTTCTTTTTTTTCTTTTTCTCTCTCTCCATTATACACAGCCTGCAATGACTTATGCAGTTTTTTTATTTTTTTTTATTTTATAAAATACAGAGTGCCCTTCGACTCGCGTGTGAAAATTGCTTTCTTGAATCGACGCCTTCGCAGATGGAAATTTCAACAAAATGAGAAAAAGGTGAACTGTAAAAAGTCCCTCTTTTTTTAAACCCTTCTCTCCCCCCCTTAAAAAAAAAAAAAAAAAAAGGGAAAAAAAAAATAAATAAAACAAAGATCCCCTCAAAGGTTTACAGTTTCTAAAGAGGAATGCTTTTAGTAAAGATGGGTAAAAAGGAGGGTGCAGGCATGCAGGAATAAGGGCTATATATGGCGGAGGGGGCGAGGTTTGGGGGCGGAGTTTGGGGTGGGGCGACAGCCCAGCCTGCTTGGATGTCGAAATGGAATCAAACGAGGAAGTGGAGCAATGGGATCCAAAAAAATAAAAAATAAAAAAACAACAAAATGGGGATGGAAAGAGTATGATCAAGAGGAGACATTTTCTATTTTAAAGTTGACAGTCTGTACACTGGAGGATGGGCAGATGAGCTTGGAGGCAGGATGAGGGGAGACAGTCAAACAGAGAGGGGGTGGGATGGGGGGGAACAGAGGGAGTTTTACAGGTGCTGTGGTGAAGGAGGGGCATGGCTCAAAGAAAGCACTCCAATGGAAACCAACAAGATCTTGTTTTTAAACTTCTCATTTGTTTAGTATGGTTTTTTTTGTATTTGTTTGTTTTTTTGTCGTTTTTTTCTTTTCTCTCTCTTTACATCTGAATCTCCCCCTAGCCTTACGTCGTAGAGGTGGTTGGCCATGTTTCTACCCCCAGCACTACATTGCATACTTTTGTGTCCATTCCCGGGCTATTTTGTTGTACCTGCGGACAGATGAGACAAAAAAGAAAAGGGAAAAAAAAAACAAGGTTAGATTAGTTTTTTCATGTTTAAACTTTCCTGCATTCTAACAAAAAAAAAAGAAGAAAGGAAAGAGAAAATAACTGCAACTTGTTAGCAGCTGCTAAGTGGTTCACACATTAAATAATAGGAAAGTTGAAGCACCTAAATAATCTGAACACATTTAGGTTTGATTGTACGACGGAGTGTTAGGGTCACGCTAACAAAAAGAAAATAATAAAATTACAAGAATTAAGTCGTACGAGAATAAAGTCATATTATTACGTCACACAATCATAACCTGAAAAGAAAGCAATGGCATTTTGTGGAGCGTCGACTGGAGCTTCTGTGGAGAAGTCTGCTTGGATGAGTAGTCAGAGCTGAGAGTGGTAGGACTGTGACATGATGCGCTTCAGTGACACTTAGTCATAAGTTTATAATCATAATTTGCAGTTGTTGCTTGCGTCCTGATTTAGAGCATCTTGCTTCTTCCAGTGCAGAATTATGACACAAAACTCATGTCAATGACGTAAAAGTTGGACGAAACGCAACGTGACCGTTCGGACTTTGAAAATAATTGCAAATGTATTCGAATTTGTAAGTGGCACACAGTGGACTTTTCTGGGGGAGTGAAAGGATCAGAACTAAGTCATTGAGATTGTAGTGAAAAATAGGGGTGTAGTGATACAATAATCTCATGATACGATACACTATATTCTGCCCACAATGCGATATATATTGCGATATTCAGCAAACTATACAATTCAATACACTTTTGCGATTTTCTGAAAGATTTTAGAGGGACAGAGTGATTTTGGTGACATTTTGTGACTGTTATAGAGTTGGATTGAATTAATTTAACTGAAAACTGATTAAAAGCACCAACTACACAATACCTGGCTCTGGTTGGACATGGACACAGATTTAAAGTCAACAGCTGGACAAAATGAATCAAAGAAGTGGTGAGAAAACATGTTCCTTTTAATTGAAGCGGTACAAACTGTAGCTTATATGCATTTGTAAAGTAAATAAAGTGCACCAAGTACCCTGCTCTGAATAGTTTGATACCTTTTTAACCTTGACACTTAACATCTGAAGGAACCACTCTAAGCCTGATGACCTAATCACTCTCCCGGCGAAGCAGGCAGTGAGTGAGCAAGGTGACAGTTGGATGTTACGATACTTGCAGATGAATATCGATTTTTTTCTAGGAAAGAAAATATCGATATATATCGCAAAATTGATATTATTACACAGCCCTAGTGAAAAAGTCAGATATGAGGAAAGAAAGAAAAAAAAATCAGATTTGGGTCGCATCTGCCTGTATGAAAGTAACCTAGGTTAAATATTTTGAATCTTGTTCTTTGATCGTCTTAAAGATAAATTAAATTTGATTCAAACTGGTTGTGGCAGGTCAAAGATTTACAAAACCAGAAATGGACATTTGCTAGAAAGGTTCTGATCCGGGCATCTCCGTAATAAACGCACAGATCGTTTACTAGATCTAGTAAACGAGCATGGAAAACTATCTTCATGCTAAATGTATAAATGCTTTTTTTTTTTTAGCTCAATCAAACCTGTATTTGGTCAGGGATGGTTTAATTTGTTCAACAGCTTCTTTGTTTTTTTGTTTTTTTTCTGGTATTTTCTAGAATTGGTTATGCTCTTGAACATTAACACTAAAGCTAAATAGACAAACACTTTTAGCCCAAAGCCAACTGTGAGCCAATGGTGTCCTCAGTGTGAAACGCTCCTAGCACAGCGACACAGGCCTGTCATCTGTCCATCTGCACTGCTGGTCGTCACAGACACATGAAAACTGAAACAAAATGGATCCCAGGAAAAGATAAAAAATAAGAGACGACAGCATACTTTTCCCTGTCAGTCTTGTAGATGCGGGCGATCTCGGGTACTAAGGGGTCGTCCGGGTTCGGGTCGCACAGCAGGGAGCAGATAGACAGGAGAACTGAAATGAAGCACAGGAAAACGATATGATCATTTAAGTTTTGATGCCATCAGGAGAAGTTACTGTCATAAACGATAATATTGCTATTTGGAGACCAGTTTCACGTAATATAATGACAATGGTATAATGCAAAAGATTGAAAAACTTTAAACTCTAATGAACATTTAATACTGGAACTGGAAGACATTTTAGATATTCAAAAACAAACAACAAATAAAATGAATTATGAAATCTCAAAAGTAAACAAAAGTGTCATTCAAAAAAAAAAAAAAGGGGGTAAGGGGGGATGGGCTCGTTCAGACTGAAGACTTTTGTTATCCAGTTTTTGGTAGAAAGAGAGAAAAGGGAAAAGCAATAAAGCATGCAAATGGAGATTATTGAGCTTGTTTTAATTTACCATGTGATTAATTGATTTATTGCTTACTGCGACAAGATATAAATCAAACAAATCATGCAAAAATCTGACATTTAAAGGAGGACCTCAGCAAGAGGACAGCATGGTACATAGGAAGTAATTTTTAAAAAAAATAAAAAATAAAAAAAGGAAACTGCTGCTTTGCATCATCAGCTTGCAGAGAGCAGCTCACCTTTGGAGATGGTGAGAGCTGGAGACCACTGTGATCGCAGAATGTCAAGACAGATGCTGCCGTTGCTGTTGATATTTGGGTGGTAGATTCTTGTGGTAAACGCAACCTGAAAGCAGAGAAACGGCGCCGTAAGGAGGGTATGCAACAAGCAGCGCAGGAAACTATACCATCTTTTTTTTTTTTTTTGAGGAAGTCTACACAATGTATGGTTACTTTAATCATGCAGCTTCTTTACACGCACGTCTCTGCGACTTCGTCCTAGTTACCTTTGGCGGTTTGAAGGGGTAGTCTGTGGGGAAGTGTATGGTCAAGAAGAAAACCCCGCTCTGGTAAGGACTGTCATTCTAAAGCAGAAAGACACATTCCGGTTGATGTGTAGTGAAAAACGTCAGCCAACGTTGACGTTCTACGCAGAGCTCATGCAAAACTCAATAAGGAACATTAAAGCAAAACAGTAGGAGGTGAGCAATGTGAATACTTACAGGTCCCATTATTGTGGCTTGCCAGTGAAACACTGAAACAAACAAAAACAGAAGTTGGTTATGAAACGCAAAGAATATCATGTTAGAATGAATAAGGTCACATGTTTGTTCAATAGGAAGCTTGAAACGCACTCCAAATACTGCTTTTTTTTTCTATACAAGATGGGTAGATTTTAAAAAGTATTCCTGCTAACGGTGTTATGATGTGCAAAATAGCGTGACAAATGCGTAAAAAAAAAAAAGAATGTCCAAGCATCGTTCTGCCTGCGAAGATGTGTCAATGTGAAAAACAACAAAAACCCACAGAAATTTTGCATCATGAGTAAAAAACCTCCTTTGTAGATTGTACGGTGGTTTATTTGATGTTGGATGGCAGGAAATGACACACAGATAGCGACAGGCTGATGTTTCTCATGGTGAGGCGTTAGCGTCTTAAAGGAACCCAAAACACACAATCAGTAAAACAAACTAAAACATTCCCCAAGGGGGCCAAATTTAAAGTTTTATATTTTTTAAGTTTTGAGTTGTTGGGTTCATGAGCTTTTTTCTTTACTAGTATGAATTGATTGACAAATCATCCTTCTAACATAGTGACTTGTTATTGTACTGGAATGAAACGCTCACAAAAAATACTTTCTTTGAAACACTGAACTGGGCAAAAGTAAGCAGTAGGCGTAGCGGTGCTAAACGAACCAAATAGACATCAGAGACGGTTGATCTCATCTTGATCGCTGATCAGCGGATACAATGCTGAAAAATATCACTCTTTTTCTCTAATCGAAACTACAAACTCTCCGTTTTCAGTCTCTAAATGTCCACAGATTTTGCTACATCTCACAGCTGAGGACACTAAAAGTCAGACAAAGGTTAGGGACATAAACTTTGAGGAAAAATGTTAGAAAAATGTGTAGTTCCTTCATTTTCTCAGATTCTAAACTATAAGTTTCATCAACATTCTTTTTTCCCCCTGTTTTAGTCTTAAGAAAATAAACTTAACCAATTGTAGCTGTGTTACCATTAAAAATGTGCACAAAACTTTGCGGATATTCTGTTAATGTCAGAAAAAAAAGAATAATTTCACAACTTTTCTAAATAAGAAGAGTTAAAATGACATGTAAATAAGTTTGCTCACACAATAAGTCATCAAAAAACATTACGTGCCATGTTCCAACTACCACTTCCTGTCGTCTTCTTCGTCATTTCCGACAGTAGTAACATCCGATTGTTGATCACGTGATTTGCGTGATGCAAAAAAAAAAAAAGTGTTTCCAAGGCAGTTTTTTGAAACGCACTAATTTCAATACAGCTGGAAAACCACAAAAGCAATATTTGTTGTTTTTTTTAATTGCTGTCTTTTTATCAAGCAAATGTGTTTTCATAATTCCAATTTTCACAATAAGGTCAATGGAAACACAGCTAGTGTTGCCAAACAAAGACAGCATTGTGCACTTTTTTTTAACAGGTAAACTATCTTTACAGCAAGGAAAGACTAAATATGCACTTCCACACGAGTACAGTGTTTTTAATAATAATAGTAGTACTGGTAAATATTTAGCACTAAGACCGAGTTGAAAACAAGAAGCTTTCACGCTCCAGGAATATGTGAGACGCAATACCTGAACAAGTCTCAACTCTCAAACATGAAACAACAGCGTGGGAGTCTGTCCCAGGTGTTTTAGTCATGATAACCATCAGCTCACCCAGGCAGCATCTGCTGCAGCTTTACAGGTACAGCACAGTGTGTGTGTATGTCAAACTCTGTGCATTTGCATAAATCAGTGGGCTGATCTAGCTTGTTCTTATGATTCAGTCAACAACACAAAAACTTTAAATTATGTGTCCTGTAAAGCTAAAACACTGGAATTATTGATCCCTTGTTGTTTTATTGCTTTAAATTACTGTCGTTTCTGGAGGTTTCTGTTTTGTCTGAACTGACATTTCCATTTTTAAAATTTATTCATCATCATTACTGTGGAATGTACCTCATGTAAGCTCATTTCAGCAAATACTGACCATCAAACAAATGTACCAAAATAGAAATATTCCTGCATTAAAGCTAGTAGTTTCTAATCCAACAGAGGACAAAAAGATAATTCCCCATTTATGAATTAAACCACTTTTTCTGGCTGTTACCATACCAAAAAAAATTACAGATAAAAAAAACTGCGCCATTTTGTGAAAGTCTTCCGTATTTGACCTAAACAGTACAGATAAGAGCGAACATGATGGGTCGTCAATTGACTAGTTGATTAACTAGTAAATAAGTAAATAAATGTTTGAGCAGGATGTAGTGTGGCGTTGGAGAAAATGCTGCTATTTCACTCAGTGTGCCACTTTGCATATGGCCTCTCTGCCCTCTCACGGTTCAGTTTGGATGTAAATGAATGGGTCTGGTTTTCTGTGAGGACTGAAAGTGATTCGAATCATTTATTTTACACGACAAAAGAAAATCCTCCAGATCAAATATCTGCGTCGACGCATTGTTTAATCCACTCAAGTCTCTATTGCTTAGTGGACAGTAACCACAAATCCATACGTGCTTAAATTAGGTATTACAGTACAGGTCTGAGAGGCCACATTTGATTATGTTTACAGTGAAAGACACGGCAAGTCCAAAGTCAGAGAGGTAGATGGAAAATAAATGCCGTTAGATGATAAAAATTGTTCAGTGTCACGCTTGTAAAAATTTAAAAGCCAGCTGAGAACCAGACGATGCTACTTGGAGCTCTTAATTAACAGATTATCAGCAAATCAGGGGACTTTTACCAAAATCAGCTTTGGTAATGTGAAAACCTGAACCTGCCAGAAATAACACCAGCCAAATAATCAAGGAGTCAATCATTGGCTCCAATATGCAAAGAACATCAACGGAAGTCAGACGCAGATTTGCTTTTTTAAGCTAATTGTGTTGAGACAGGCAGTTCTTAAGACAATGACTAACTTTGAGGTGTCGAGTGTTTAGGTGGAGTGGTTTTGGGGCCGCTACCCGAAACCCTGCTGGTATCAGACAGATTGGTTTCTCTTTGGGTCAATACGTTGGCTGTTTTAAATAAAATTCTAAAAAAAAAAAAAAATACAAAAAAACAAGGGTTTGTAAGACCCTGCTAATATGCTAGTAGTTTGATTTTTTAACTAAAAACATTTTTAGAGGAAATATGTGCTTAGAAACTTTTCATAAAACAAAAGTAAAAGGTTGTGTCTGGGCAGAGATAAACTAGCTTAAGAAAACTAGTTGAACTTCGGTTTTGGTATTCAAGTATCGGTTGAAGTGTTAAAGTTTTGATTGATTTAGCACTTCATTAGGCCTTTGGTATTATTAGTGTTTTATAAGATTATTGACTGATGAGTCGGTACAATTATGTTTGAGCTTACTCCATTTACCAGCATTAGCCTTCCCTCTCTTTTCAATGGCCTATATAAAATAGTCCATAAAACATGCTAAATGTATGTTTTCTTAAAAGCTAACTGCTAGCTAAACTAAGGTAGCTACTGAAGCTAAAGGTAACTAAGTGCTCTTGCATTCATGTCATTCAACTGTAACAAATCGCTGGCGCTCAAACATTATTGGTGCTTAAAGTACATTGTTTAAAACAGCAAAACGCTTCTTTAAATCTGTTTAAGACACCACTTTATGCGACGTAGCACACTCTCAACCAAGCATCTTGGAAATGTATAGTGATATTTTCTTTTATTAATATTATTTACATTATTATTATTATTGGAGCTTTGTAACAAAATTTATCTCAATATGTACTTTTTAAATGTACAGTTGAGTGACAAAGTATGTGTATGTCTAAATTAAATCCATCTCCATGGTGACTGATTAACAGATTAAGAATCAATTGTCCAAATAGCTTTTTTGATTTATAATCCAGCAAGTTAATCAAAGAAACACTACTTTATCTCCACTTCTGCTTTGCATTGTGAACTGGATGTTTGAACACATACCAAACGTTTTCAGTACTAAAGCTGAGGTAGGTAGCTTTTATACATAAAAACAATTAATACATATTTGCTAAGACTGTCACTGTCATGCCAGTATAATAATAGACAGATAATCTATGAAAATGATAACAAAAACAAGTTCCTCTAGCTTTTTCCAGTGATTCTGCTGCCATCTGCAGAAATGCTCCCGATCAGAAACAACCAATCAGAGCCAAATGTAAACTAAAGTCTGAATAATTCACAATTTTCATTCATGTGGTATGATGAGCTCTTGTTTATTGGAACCTCACCCAGACTAAAAAAAAAAATGGTGGACAGATATAACTTCAAGAAAGCAATTACTACAAATTACTTGAAGCAGCATTAGCAAAATCCCAATTTTATTGATGGAAAGGTTAAAATGAATGTGCTATAGCAAAAGAAAAAAAGAGAACAATTTGACACCGTTTTGAGAAACAAGTCTGGGTATTTCCTGGATGTGTTTACACAACAAAAAGAGAAATGCTTCCTGAATTTAGGTCAATGCACGGGACCCAGTGCTGATACTTTTATTTTCCTTTCCAACGGACACAGCCTGAGCTTTATGTTCAGTCTACATTCCTACTTTCAAAGCTGCGGTCAGCAAAGTTAGTGAAGTTAATTTTGGCGTCGTTATGAGTCTTTGCATTAAGGAAGAACGCATTAAGATGGACTTCAAAGGGGAGTAGGACAAATTCCTGCAGCTAGTTTCTATTTTTAGGTTGACTTGGAATCACCAGATTACAGAGTTGGGCGCTAGATAAAGTAGCTCCAGGTCTGGTTCATATCTCTCAGATTCATATCCCAATCGAATAAAGTTCTGGACACCATTTGGGGCAGTCGACTGGTGAAATATGGCAAATTGAGTCCTGGGTTCCAAACAAAATAAATACGAGTGACCTATTTACTTGAGTTGTGTAGGAATACTTCTTTACAGCAGACAAATAGTAAGTAATTAAAAAAGATTACTTGGTCAAACACGACTTTTGCATGAATGGCTAACTTAAATCAAATTAAAATCATGATGAAAATAAGCAAGTGCTAAATTATGGCAAATTGTATTATTGTATGGTTAGCTATGTTTATGAAGGTTTAAGCTGACATGCTGGAGTGTTCGGACAGATTTTTATTGCCATGTTCTGTTAATCAGTGAGTGGCAAGAAAACATAAAAACCTGCTTTGAGAGTCGAAGGAAGGGAATATAAATAAGGGGATGTGGACATGTTGGCGACGAAAGATGAAGGCAAAAAAAGATCCAGGAGAGAACGAAGCTTGTGTCGTTATTCTGGGCTTTAACACCTTTTGTCATCGTTAATGTTGACATTTCTGTCTGCAGACTTCTTTAAAAGCTTTGGGTCCCGACCAGAGATTTCTCCAATTAGAGGAACTTTTTTTTTTTTAATAAAAGTTACCCGCTGCAGCTTTAAGCAGCTTGTCGAATTTTATGCATCTAAATTGTCTTGCATGCCAAGCTGTACCTTCCATAGGTAGCAATACAGTAACTGTATGTTTGAAGCTAAAGTGGGTTGACAACACAATTAGGGGAAAGTGGTTTTCATCCTTGTTTTTATAATGCATTTTAACATCTATACAGTCACGATAAACATTAAATTAATTATTTGCATGGTAAATTAAAATGAGTGCGATCATTTCCACTTGCATGCTTGTTTGTGTAATCTTTAAAGCGACGCTGCCCTTTAATACTATTGAAAAGGCGCCATTTTGAAGAATGCTGCAAACATTTGGCACACAGTACAAAGAAGCTAGTTTGCACTTTGTTTTTTGTCACATATGTTAACCGGCAGATTTGCCTTTCTCCCTGTATGACCCTTATTATTATTATTATTATTATTAACATGCTTTTTCTTCGTAATCCACTTAATTTATTGTTTTGTTTTTATTTATTTGGGATACCTAAAATGTCTTCCTGTCCCAGTGTTAAATGTTATTTGGAAATCGAAGTCTATTAATCATTGAGAGGATGTACTTACATTATTATGACTGACTGATTATATTACAACAATGTTATCATTTATCGCAATAATTTCTGGCACAATTAATTGTCCAGCAAAATGTGTTATCGTGACGGGCCAAGGCTAGAGTACCATGTATTTACATGTAAATGTTCATTAATAGATATTGTCACGCTTTCAGAAATAAACTTAAACAATTAAAGGCATTGTGTAAAAGAATGGTTTTCATCATTAAAAGTCAAACAATTTAGAAACTCTCAACTTTAAGCAAAGAAAAAAGTAAACCTGTTACTTTTTTTTTTTTAATTTCTAATGTTTGATACTCCAATTCACCTAACTGTTTCTGTGTATTCTCAGTCACTTTGAGACTTTGTGTTTGCAAGACATAAAGTCAGCAGTTTGGAAAATCATGGTGATAAATCTTAAAGAAAGACCTCCCTCTATTTACATTACTACAACAATGCTTTAAACTTCATTAGGTAAAGAAATCTATTGCACAGTATGAGTACATAAAAAGCTTGCTCTACATTTTAAACAGACTGTCAAAACATGTTCTGTTCCTTACTGATGTATCAAAGAACTATGCATAAATGTTATGGAAAATATAACTGATATTGTGGGACAAAAATCACAATCGTACAGCATGAATCTCAATCCAAACCCAACTCATTTTGATCAGGTCCATTATTTTCTAAGGCTGGATTTCTTTGAACAGATACTGCACTGCGTACAACAGCATAATATGCACTCAGACCTGTTAGTACACCAACAAGCTTCATCTCTTATAACGCAACAAAATTTAGGGTATGCAAACTTCTGAATGCACAGTCATTCCTTTTTATGATGACGATTATTATTATTATTTTTAAATCAGTACAGATTTTGACGTTTTAACTTACTGTCATCTCCTACTGGTCCTGCAGAACACTGGGCTGGAGGGTCCCGAGCCAAGTCATTCAACCCCCATGAAAAAAAAAAAAAAAAAAACAACAAACAAGCAAAAACATTTTTTGGTCACATTCTGCTTCAGAGTTTCGGTTAAGAAGTATTAAAATAAAACTGAAATAGAAATATAATCAATTTGAACCTAATTGTTTAAGTTCCCTAATTCAAGTGTTCACTTTGAAACTGCAGACTGCAATAAATAGTGCAACAAGAACTTGTTCATTCCCTTTAACATGAGTCTACTATAGCGCAGTAAGCTTTGATTAGCGCAGTAACAGCTATTACGTAACGTCATTTCTCCTGATATCGAGGTTGCACTGAATAACCTTAAAAAAACAACACATAATAGTATGACAGCATTTTTTTATGATTATGTACAGCCGTAATAAACGATGTGTGGCACGGTGCAACATTACAGTGGAAATGCTAGTTTAGCATACAAGCTATCTGTTGAGGTTCAACCGTAGTACAGGATGTCATGTTAAGACACAGACTCCGCTTTCTGCTCGGCTACATTAAACATGTGTTAGCAGTACTGAATTACAACAGAAAACACAATAAAACGTTTAGCTAAGATAAGTAAAAAAAAAAAGAAAAACTCGAACAATTAAAAATAACGACGTCCTGCTCTTTATTTAATAGCAACATGCGATCAAAGGCAAACCAACAAGCAAACGGGCCCGTTTCCACAACGTCAAAAATGTTAGCATTATTCAACCAGCCATCAAATACTTCTCTATGACTACCTCATCCTTAGTGTACAAGGAACAACGAAGTGAAAGACGCACACAACACGACTAGCCTTCATTAGAATTGATAATGTGCCGTTTGGATAAAGAGAGCAGCTACAAGGGTACGCAAGGCTAGCTGGCGCTACACCAATCGTTACCCATGAGATGATACAGTAATATATATACCGGCAAAGAAAAAATAATTACAAGACGTAAACATTTCGACGCCAATAAACGGTCAGCTGTTTCATCTACTAAGCACCAGCGTCTTTGTTGAGCTATGGTTAGCCTTGCCGTTAGCTGCTTAACATAAGAGGTATCTGTCAAACCAAGTTACTGCATTTTTTTTTCTTTCAAAATATTTGTCAGACAGCTAGGCTGTCATATACAAGTACTCGGTTGAGACATTAAGTCTCAACCGAAGAAGCCATTCTTGTATGGAGAACTATAAAAAATATTGTTAAATACGGCTAGCTAGCATAAAACGAACGTTTTAGCTTCCCCAAATTAGCCGACCACCACCAACAGCTAACACGCCACTGTATTTAATAACGTGACAGCCGGAGATATGTTAAACTTCAAGTTAACGTTAATATCTGACATAACGGGATTAAATGTCCACACAACGTGACCCCACGGTAAAAAAGGACCGGGAGGAGCTAACCCGTCAACAGCTAAGTTGGCCCATTTCTAGCGGCACCAGTTAAGAGACGGCGGACCGCTGCTATCACTACCGTCACCAGCCTTTCACCGATCCCTCGTCGGCACATAAAACTAACTTTAAGGGCTTTTCGTAATGTTTAAAATGGTTCTCGGCACAATAAACTCGTCGGACAAACATGTGAATGGTAGCCGTGGTTCACAATGTACAACAAAACTGCGAAATCCAGGGCCTCGTCGTTCACTTCCTTACCTTGTGAATTCTTTTCAGAGCCATTGTTGTGCTAGCGCTTCTGTCAGGGAAAACGTGCGATTAAAATGGCGATTGGGAACCACTTCGTCCGTTGGTGAAAACTGCAGCTCAAGGAATCATAAAACACCGTCTCTACATACACCGGTCACCGTGTGTTACCAAAAGGAGCCACCGAGAAAATTTTGAGGCGAAACTGAAAGATAGAAGGGGTAGAACCGCGGTCCTTCCTCCTACTGCAGCGGCTACCAAATCACTGCGGCCTGCCTGTGTTCCTGTGAGCTGCAACAAGAAGAGCACTTCCGGACAACCCTCTTCACAGTAAACGCGTTTGTTTGTTTGCTTGTTATTATGGTGCTTTTTTTTAAAAAAACTATTTATTTATTTATCTTTACAAAATACACACTATTTAATTTTTTAACACAACCCATTAAAATTAGCTAATATGAAAACTTAAAGTTGATTATCCATTTTAGTAGTCTAACTTTTACAACAATCACAGATACAACTGGAATAAATCTAAAATAATTGTATTTTATTTTTCACTAGAAGACCTATAGAAAAAGTTTTAAAAAATATTGAAGTGGGATTCAATTGAATTTTATTCCAATTCAGTAATAATGATTTCAAGTCTATGCAGTCCAATAAAGTACTGTCAGACTCGGCGTTTTAATTTGCAAACACGAATTTCAAAATTTTGAAAGCAAAACCGGTAGTTTGAAGCTCGGTAGTCTAGTCCCTCACTGAATGACATTGAATGGGATCTTTCTGGACAAAATCAATCCCTATTTAGTCCTGCATTCATATTCAGTTGCTCAAGTAAATAAACATATAAATAAGTAAGTAAATAAATAAAACTTGTGTTTTGCTGTCAGTCAAACATTTAATTGAACTCTGCGTGTTCACAAGTTCTTATAAATAAATGTAAGCGTACATAAACAATATGTAGTTAACAGAGGATAGATTTATTGCTTGAGCTGGAAAAAAAAGTGAATAAATGAAATGGGTACATTTATTTATGTATTTTTTAATACATAAATGCATTGTGTTAATCGCAAAAATAAGTAAGCAAATTAATAAATAAAAACAGCGTTCATAGCGAAGTCGTCTTTTTTTTCCCATTTATCTGCTTAGTTAATTTTCATAGAAAATTTTGTAAAGTTAGCTAATTCCATGCTTGAGTGGTCATGAAGAACTCTGTGTTTTATTTTGAAGGTCCCGCAGCAGACAGTGAAGCAATGTTTTTTTTTTTTTTTTTTTTGCGCATCTGTCACTGCGCTGCCCTAGGTAACCCTCCGCTCCGCAGATTTGCACGATTTGCTGCATCCAGTGCGCCTGGGCAGAGACACAGGAGCTGCTGCTGCTGCTGCTGCTGTTGTTGTTCTTTGGACGCGGAGCCAAAATGACCACACAGCGGGTTTACTAAACTCCGGAGCTGCGGTGTCGTCTGCTCCGCTCGCTCAGCGGGGAGCTTCGTGTTTACAGTTGTAACTGATACGTCACCAGAGGGAAGGAGTAAATCCCGAACAGATTCAGTGTCAGCAGAGGATCCTCAGCTGAACACCGGGTTCAGGGAGGACGACTGGCTGCGATTGGACCTCGGATAAAATCTTAGTGATTGTAATATTTTTAAAGAACAGTACAGCCCTTTAAAAAAAAA